GTATGTGGGCGGGCAGCCATCGTGAGAGTGCGAAGTAGAAACACTCGAAATTTTAAATTCAATATAGAAGTCATTCGTAACTCATAATGTCATTTTAGAATTTCAACACCTCCGTTTAGTTGATTTATAGTTTTTGGACACGTTTAGTGGCCATAACGATCGTTTCAATATTATGTTGTTGTTGTTGTTGTTCTTGTTCTTTGACACGTTTTTAAAAAATCGCTTTTCTCTTCGAATACTGGACCAATTGCTTTGAAATTTTCAGTGGTTGAAGATTAATTTCTTCGCTAGAAGGCTATTACTTTTATTTATTTCAAAATTTTGCGTGAATTCTATGAAATTTGATATTTCGTCTAAAATTTTGCTGTATTATTTTTTATCCATGGGAACACGGATTTTAGTCAGTGTCATGACTGGCTGTACGTTTTGATTCTGCAAAATTCTTGCTACTGGAAATTCAGAACTTTTTTGAGGGTACCGGTAGCGTCAAAGGTACCGGTAAAGACTGATTCGCTCTGGTCTAACGTGTCCATATATTTGTGCGTAGCTCTCTTGTTCTCACTAATAATTGTTTTACTTTGCCTATAAACAAGCTACGAGAATACATTTCAACGATCTACGTCACGAGACTCATTAAAATCTTTCATGGGACTTGTTGTTTTTGCTTTGAATTTTTAAATATCGACACGTATGTATACGAAACTTGCGATTTGAATCAGTGTTTTACGTAAACCCATGATTAATGGAAAATGTAGAACAAAACTTTTGAAACAAAAGGGTAATTATGAGACTATTACGCATTTTTAAATCTACAGGTTTGTAATGAAGAAGAAATATTGGGATATTGTGACGAAATGTTAAGGCCCGTCTGCATTATAGATGCCGGAAAAGACGAGTTTGATCCGGTTGTACAGACGGAACTAAACAACAAATGTCTGCAATGCGCTGAGGCACCTATGTAAGTTTACGTTCCTTCTTACGGTTTCGGTGCTTATGAGTTTTTCACAATTCAATTTGTCTTTAATTCGATTGGTATGATCTGGGCAAGGCCTATATAATCGACTAAAACACTTGACAGTACCAGATGATTGACTCTTCTATTAGTTTTGTTATAGCTATATTTATGATTTTTTTTTTGCATATTTATTTAAAATGAACTTCAAATGCATAATTTTATAATTTTTCAGATTCTATTACTACGAAGGTTCCTGCCAAGCTCTCAGACCCTAAATTGGGCAGATAATAATGAATCAATACAGAAAATAAATGTCTGTAATAAAAGCAATTGCGTTCTTATGTTAGATATGACTGCGGGCAGAAAGTTGCATAAGGGTTTGGGCAGCATGAAAAAAAATGCGTGAGACACTCAGTAGCCATTTTGTTCCTCATCTATTTCTTATGTTTTTCAATATAATAGATCGGTTCAGATATCGGTCCTGAGACCGATATCGCATGAGACTTTTTTTTAGTAGTTTCCAAATTTTTTCGAAACCTATCATGTGCTTGTCTTATGCGAAACCACGACGTTTTATTTACTTAGGGTGATTTTATATTTTAAAAGAGAACGTTGCGGAGTATATTTTTCGAGATGGTTTTCTCGTTTTAATAATTACCATTCATAAGCAGTGGGATATTATCGTACTTGATATATTGCAAATCTCACCTGACTAAGGATGGCGAACGACTGACCCGCATAATGTTTTCCAGTGACCTGTCAAACCACGTTCTATTGCAAAATGCAACAGCACTAAGCCAAGCCCAGAACGGAAATTGTGTTTAAAACACACACAACTCCGCCATTCTGTGTGATCTCCTCATTTGGAGGGGACCGTCACTAGCAAACAAGCTCAATCTAATACAGGCACTCTATCTTTACGGCGCTCCAGAAGTATGTGTACCAAGATGGCGCACAACCTGATAACCCTAAGCTGGTACACATACTATGTTCAGGTTGTGCGCCATCTTGTCGCACATACTTCGGGAGCACCATATTTACAACAACTCTGCGGCAGATGAAAACAGTAATCTAGTGAAAATCTCTCTGAAAATTTGCAGAATAGTTGAATTTCATATTACGAAAATTTTAAAAAATTGCTTTAAATAAAATTAATTACCTTGTTTATATTATCGAATGCATGAAGACAATCGGTCGAAACATTGCTAAACTGTCCGGCCAACAACAAGTAATCCAAAAAACGGGATTTATGCCCACGTGATCACATGTTCCCCAATTAAGGTGAGGTAGTTTATCACAGAAAAATTGTCTTGGTGCGGCTGATTCCATATAATTCCTAAACATTTTAAACTTCACCGTTACTATAAAGTTGACGTGAATTTTTCCTAAATCTACAATGCTAAAAATATAACGCAGTGGCGTACCTAAAGGTATTCGATTCTCAAACAATCTAATATTCAAGAAACAACATAAGACCTATATGACTGGAGTACCGGTACTAGGGTACTGAATATTGCTCTAAAGCTTGTTCGATGCAATGTAAAGTCATACAAGGGCTCTTCAAACTGGGAGTCCCGATCAGAATTATATTGAAAAACCGTTGTATTATATGCTGAAAACAATATAGTTTGTATTAATTGAACTCTGTACATTGAGCATCCATTTTGAATCGAAGAGGAAGTATCATTCAAAGGTCATGTTGCACAATGAGTTGAGAATGAATTCAGCGTAACATTCAAATAGTGCAAATGGGAATACACACGTTCCAGGACATTTTGTCTGCAAATATGCATTCATTTCGTTCCAACGTTTTCTTCAAGAAGTGAGGTCTCTATTTTAATCAAAAACAAATTTGGTATAAGCATATTGTATATGTCAATTATTGGTGTACCGTGGAGGGATGACATGAGGCAAATGTCAGGTCAAAACACTTCCAATCTGACAGTTAACTGTAAAAATTTGAAAACAACTTAAAAATTAACATTATTCGATATGATTTTGTATTCAGTTGAAAAGTGCTTGAGGTGGTATCGTGGCTACTGCTGGACGCAATAGTTTTAAATCGTAACACACTAGAGTTCAAAAACCTAGCGATACTCATAAAATGAGCAAATTTGTCAAGCATAGATTTTATTTACAGACGGTTAAGTTTTGATAGTGCATCCGTGAACGTAAAATTCACCATATAGCAGAATAGAAAATATGCGAAAAAACGTAACGCGCTTACCGTGATTACGAACACGAGGTTCAAGCATGGATCATGCTTGGTACGACGCAAAAGTGTCCCATTGCTTCTGTATACAACAGACTCCACGATGAGACGTATACGTATAAGATATCAACTCTTACTAACGATTCAAAATAGAATCAAATATTAATGCACATAATTAATACCTCCTCGGCTTGTTAAGGTATATCTCAAAATGCAAGATTCTGCCTGACTCCCCAAGTTTCATGTTTTGCAACTGTATTGGAACATCTTGCTTTACACAAAATAGTAATCACATGCTTTGTTAAGCATGTGAAAGAAATTTAACAAAGTCAATTTTTCCTTACTATAGTAGAGATGATCTAGATAGATTTATACAATCCATTGAAAGTTTTTTTTTGTTTTCATTATATGTTCGAGTTTGTATACACACATTTCATCCATATAATCCGTAAAGTCCAATTTAAACTATGCAACCAAAACATTGATAACTGAACTACATTTTTCCCAAAATAAAGTAATATGTATTAATTGTTGACAACGTTAGTCGAATACTGTAACACGTAAATTTACTCAGATTTATTTACAGATTTATGAAGTACTCTTATCTGTATTTTCATCAACACAATTATAGCAATCCGCTCAATACTGGCTGTATGCTGTAGTAGCACCTAATTATAATGTTAGTTTTATTCAAAAGTCTGTAAACCGAAATGAAATTCCATTTCGTCTTTTTTGATTCACATAGCAAGCTTTGAAAATAATAGTTGGAATATAGACCGTCAATCTTATTTGGAGTTTCCATAGAAAACAACAGTAAGGTAATTCAGAACGGTTCACTCAAATTTACGAAAGCGTAACAAAGGATATATCCTTGTTTTCTCTGCTCTTGTTTACTTTAATATGATATAGAGGCATCAGGACTATGCGTTATGATTAAAATTAGTAACCTATTAATATGATGCTGTTCACCAATTTAGTTGGAGGAGACAAAGTACATAAATCGGAAGTTCAAACGTAATTGTTGCAGACACCTAGCACTCTAGCAGAGATGGTTTATAGCAGCGGTTCTCAAACGGGGTGGGGGTGTTGTAGACGTTTTTTTTTGGAGGGGGCGTGAAGCTTATTGGAAATAGAAATATATGTTAGGTTTGATCTTTCCCGTCTTATTTCGAATATTTACATTTCTTCATTGTTTAGAGATAGCATAGATTTCCATCCACGTATTTTCAACGTGTTTTCTGAAAAAAAAAACATACATTTGCCATACTATCTGTTCTTTGTAGCTTACTGCTAGATAGTTTTGAGGTGAAGCGCGAATTTGACAAATTCTAAAAGGAGGTGCGACTTATAAATGTTTAGGTATCACTGATTTATAGTAATAATAAGTAGGTTTAACATTTGTGAAAAGGAACTAACTAGAAGATGGGAAATTTTGCAACAGCTTTAAAATGTTTATTAAAGATATTGAGAAATTTACCATCAATACTGTAACTTGTCAGAATTTTATCCATCATGACACCAACCAAAACTGACGGACTCGTTGTATGAAAAGTTTTATACTCATTTATATGTCGCTATGTTTTAATATATTCGCAAATAATGACGTTTTATCACCTGGGATCACAAATAAAATTTCAGTATTCAACGTTTTATTTGGTGCATATGAATTAGAAAAATAGAAACTATCTAGGGTTTTGATTAGGGACTTTTTTACAACTTGAATATATACTAACATATTTTGTACCAATTTACGACATACTTACAAACATATTCATAAGTTATTACAAAAATTTAACAAAACTTGTGAAAAATTATTATTATGCATTATTCAACAGTATAAAGTGGTTTAAATGGTAAAACTTATATAAATCATGAAAGGTCAAACCGTTTTCTTGAAAATAGTATGGTTAAACTGGTTTCTGGTTGTATTGCAATGCTCAGGTATGTTTAGTGATTTAATTCGAACTATAATTCGGTTGTAACTTGATTTCAACTATCTTTAGGTAGAAATATGATAGATGTTGAAATTCTCACTTTCTAAACCAGTTGTTTTCCACTTCTTCAATTTTTCTTGCGAAGTTTCTCCATAACGATACTGAACTTAACTTATGTTATTTAGCCGAGAACTGCACTGTTTCAAGTCCACTGCACGGTACTACGGACTGTACAGGCACTGTTGACGTAGGAACGATTTGCAACATAACTTGTGATGATGGGTATTTCAATAATTCTGTAAGAAGTGCCGAGTGCATCAAACAAGATGAGTGGGATAACAATAATTGGAATGATACCTGTCAAGGTATGCTAAATATAACGGAGTTAAAAACAGAACTTGATGATTGTAGTTAGCGTTTTGTACTTCAATTGCCAATAATCTCTGTCATTTTCGTTTGTCAAAAGTTGTAAGGCGGATATAATTTTTTGAATAAAAGTCCGATTTGTAAAGGCAACTACGTTTTTTAATGTTTTTAAATCTTTAAAACAACCCCACGTGAATATTTTGTAATTGTGTTTTTCTGTGTTCGATGTTGAGTTGAACATTACTAAAAGGGAAGAACAAAATTCATGGCTTACAGAGCACCATTACAGTTGCAGACATTCGGCGCAGATTTGAACATGCAAATTAAATTTGTACAGTTTCAATATTGCACGGCATATCTTTCGGTTCATGACCATTATTATGCCATTATCAAGATTTGTAGATAACAGTTTTGAAATATATCATCCGGACTATTTTTTAAAATAAAATCTTAATGGCGAAAAACTAACATCAAAAACAATTTTGTAGCGGATATCAAGTTAGTGTCCCAAATGAAATTTTCAAAACTCAGCATATTGTAGAACGAATACAACAAGGTAACATTAAACTCCGTTTTCGTAATATTATATATCGATAATCTTTATTATCTACCTTAGCTATCATGTGTCCTGAATCGTCATTTATTGCAAATTCACAACAATCAACATGCATCCCCAGCAATAGTTACAATGATACATGCGATATTACTTGCTTGGATGGATATTATAACGATGGAGATAAACAAGCAACATGCAAAGACACAAATGAAAATAATGATACAAATAAATATGGTGATTGGAATGAAGGAAGCGCAAATTGTACAGGTAAAGTGATGTTGTGGAGAAGCAAACAAAAATTTCACAAATCGGACACAATTACACGAAGTGTGTTCACAGATCAAATCATTTTCTTGTTTAATAGTGACATGTTGCTATGTTATATTACCCCCAATCGGAAAGGCTATTTTCATATATATTGTAAGAATTATTTGTTGATTGCTAATAATCATTTATTTTAACATTAGAGCTAAGTTTGATTGTATATTTGTGTTAAACAAATGTTAAAGAAACTTGTAAAAGCTATTTTGATATTGGTTCTCTATTCATAAAATTCTTAAAAACTGTTATCTATAGCGATGTGCATGAAATTGATCTTTCGGATTCGCTTTCAGCCTTTTTGTCTATACCTCAAGTTTTGGTTGTGATTGCGATATTCACAAAAATATATACCAAAATATTTACGAAAAAGATGTATCAGTATATTATATGTCTAGTTTTTGTTTCAAGTTGTTTCGAAGAAGTGCATATTATATGTAGAAATGAATATCGTTATTTTTGGTGTATGTATGCGTCCCCGTTTCAGATGATTTAATGTTTGTCTCGATGGATTTTTGGTAATAAAAGATGATCGCACGTGTCTAAATTTATTGAAAGTTACTTTCTTTGTATATTTGGATAAAGATAACAAAGTGATGATTTATAATTTTTTAAATATTTGTATTTAACATTCTACTATATACCATAGCTATCACGTGTCCTGTTTCATTCACAATAATTTCAAATTCGCAACAATCAAACTGCACCAGCATCAGTTTCAATGATACATGCGATATTACTTGTTTGGATGGATATTATAATGATGGAGATAAACAAGCAACATGCACAGATTCAAATGAAAATAATGATACAAATAGAGATGGTAATTGGGATGAAGGAAGCGCAAATTGTACAGGTAAAGTGATGTTGTGGAGAGACACGAATTGTCTTCACAAATCAAACAAGTTTCCTGTTTAATAGCGTGTTGCGATGTTATATTACCCCCAGCCTGAATGGCTATTTTCATATATATTGTAAGAATTATTTGTTGATGGCTTATCATCAATTATTTCGATATGAGAGCTAAGTTTGAATGTATACTTGTGTTAAAATATGTTGAAAAAACTTGCGAAGACTATTTTGATATTGTTTCTCTATTCATAAAATGCTTACAAACTGTTATCTATAGCGATGTGCATAAAATTGATCTTTCGGATTCGCTTTCAGCCTTTTTGTCTATACCTCAAGTTTTGGTTGTGATTGCGATATTCACAAAAATTTATACCGAATTAATTACGAAAAAGATGTATCAGTATATTATATGTCTAGATTTTTTTTTCAAGTTGTTTCGAAGGAATGCATATTATATGTAGAAATGAATATCGTATGTATGCGTCCCCTTTTTAGATGATTTAATGTTTGTCTCGATGGATTTTTGGTAATAAAAGATGATCGCACGTGTCTAAGTTTATTAAAAGTTACTTCATTTGCATATTTGAATAAAGATAACAAAGTGATGATTTATAATTTTTTAAATATTTGTAATTAAAATTTTACTATATACCATAGCTATCACGTGTCCTGTTTCATTCACAATAATTTCAAATTCGCAACAATCAAACTGCACCAGCATCAGTTTCAATGATACATGCGATATTACTTGCTTGGATGGATATTATAACGATGGAGATAAACAAGCAACATGCACAGATTCAAATGAAAATAATGATACAAATAGAGATGGTAATTGGGATGAAGGAAGCGCAAATTGTACAGGTAAAGTGATGTTGTGGAGAGGCAAACAAAAATTTCACAAATTGGACACATGTACACGAATTGTCTTCAAAAATTAAAAAAATTTTTTGTTTAATAGTGTGTTGTGATGTTATATTACCCCCGATCGGAATGACTATTTTCATGTATATTGCAAGAATTATTTGTTGATGACCGATCATCATTTAGTTTAATATTAAAGCTGTGTTTGAATGTATACTTGTGTTAAGTAATCTTAAAAAAAACTTGTAAACGCTTTTTTGATATTGGTTCTCTATTCATAAAATTCATACAAACTGTTATCTGTAGCGATGTGCATGAACTTGTCTTTCGGATTCGCTTCCAGCCTTTTTGTCTATACCTCAAGTTTTGGTTGTGATTGCGATATTCACAAAAATATATACCAAAATAATTACGAAAAAGATGTATCAGTATAATATATGTCTAGTTTTTGTTTCAAGTTGTTTCGAAGAAGTGCATATTACATGTAGAAATGAATATCGTTATCTTTGGTGTATGTATGCGTCCCCTTTTTAGATGATTTAATGTTTGTCTCGATGGATTTTTGGTAATAAAAGATTATCGCACGTGTCTAAGTTTATTAAAAGTTACTTCATTTGCATATTTGAATAAAGATAACAAAGTGATGATTTATAATTTTTTAAATATTTGTAATTAAAATTTTACTATATACCATAGCTATCACGTGTCCTGTTTCATTCACAATAATTTCAAATTCGCAACAATCAAACTGCACCAGCATCAGTTTCAATGATACATGCGATATTACTTGCTTGGATGGATATTATAACGATGGAGATAAACAAGCAACATGCACAGATTCAAATAAAAATAATGATACAAATAGAGATGGTAATTGGCATGAAGGAAGCGCAAATTGTACAGGTAAAGTGATGTTGTGGAGAGGCAAACAAAAATTTCACAAATTGGACACAATTACACGAATTGTCTTCAAAAATTAAAAAAAATTTTTGTTTAATAGTGTGTTGTGATGTTATATTACCCCCGATCGGAATGACTATTTTCATGTATATTGCAAGAATTATTTGTTGATGACCGATCATCATTTAGTTTAATATTAAGGCTGTGTTTGAATGTATACTTGTGTTAAGTAATCTTAAAAAAAACTTGTAAACGCTTTTTTGATATTGGTTCTCTATTCATAAAATTCATACAAACTGTTATCTGTAGCGATGTGCATGAACTTGTCTTTCGGATTCGCTTCCAGCCTTTTTGTCTATACCTCAAGTTTTGGTTGTGATTGCGATATTCACAAAAATATATACCAAAATAATTACGAAAAAGATGTATCAGTATAATATATGTCTAGTTTTTGTTTCAAGTTGTTTCGAAGAAGTGCATATTACATGTAGAAATGAATATCGTTATCTTTGGTGTATGTATGCGTCCCCTTTTTAGATGATTTAATGTTTGTCTCGATGGATTTTTGGTAATAAAAGATTATCGCACGTGTCTAAGTTTATTAAAAGTTACTTCATTTGCATATTTGAATAAAGATAACAAAGTGATGATTTATAATTTTTTAAATATTTGTAATTAAAATTTTACTATATACCATAGCTATCACGTGTCCTGTTTCATTCACAATAATTTCAAATTCGCAACAATCAAACTGCACCAGCATCAGTTTCAATGATACATGCGATATTACTTGCTTGGATGGATATTATAACGATGGAGATAAACAAGCAACATGCACAGATTCAAATGAAAATAATGATACAAATAGAGATGGTAATTGGGATGAAGGAAGCGCAAATTGTACAGGTACAGTGATGTTGTGGAGAGGCAAACAAAAATTTCACAAATTGGACACAATTACACGAATTGTCTTCACAAATTAAAAATTTTTTTTGTTTAATAGTGTGTTGTGATGTTATATTACCCCCGATCGGAATGACTATTTTCATGTATATTGCAAGAATTATTTGTTGATGACTGATCATCATTTAGTTTAATATTAAAGCTGTGTTTGAATGTATACTTGTATTAAGTAATCTTAAAAAAAACTTGTAAACGCTTTTTTGATATTGGTTCTCTATTCATAAAATTCATACAAACTGTTATCTGTAGCGATGTGCATGAACTTGTCTTTCGGATTCGCTTCCAGCCTTTTTGTCTATACCTCAAGTTTTGGTTGTGATTGCGATATTCACAAAAATATATACCAAAATATTTACGAAAAAGATGTATTAGTATAATATATGTCTAGTTTTTGTTTCAAGTTGTTTCGAAGAAGTGCATATTATATGTATAAATGAATATCGTTATCTTTGGTGTATGTATGCGTCCCTTTTTTAGATGATTTAATGTTTGTCTCGATGGATATTGGTAATAAAAGATGATCCCACGTGTCTAAGTATATTGAAAGTTACTTTCTTTGCATATTTGGATAAAGATAACAAAGTGATGATTTATAATTTTTCAAATATTTGTATTTACCATATTACTATATACCATAGCTATCACGTGTCCTGTTTCATTCACAATAATTTCAAATTCGCAACAATCAAACTGCACCAGCAATAATTTCAATGATACATGCGATATTACTTGCTTGGATGGATATTATAATGATGGAGATAAACAAGCAACGTGCACAAATTCAATTGAAAATAATGATACAAATAGGGATGGTAATTGGGATGAAGGAAGCGCAAATTGTACAGGTAAAGTGATGTTGTGGAGAGACACGAATTGTCTTCACAAATCAAACAAGTTTCCTTTTATATAGCGTGTTGCGATGTTATATTACCCCCAGCCTGAATGGCTATTTTCATATATATTGTAAGAATTATTTGTTGATTGCTTATCATCATTTATTTTGATATGAGAGCTAAGTTTGAATGTATACTTGTGTTAAAATATGTTGAAAAAACTTGCGAAGACTATTTTGATATTGTTTCTCTATTCATAAAATGCTTACAAACTGTTATCTATAGCGATGTGCATAAAATTGATCTTTCGGATTCGCTTTCAGCCTTTTTGTCTATACCTCAAGTTTTGGTTGTGATTGCGATATTCACAAAAATATATACCAAAATAATTACGAAAAAGATGTATCAGTATAATATATGTCTAGTTTTTGTTTCAAGTTGTTTCGAATGAATGCATATTATATGTAGAAATGAATATCGTTATCTTTGGTGTATGTATGCGTCCCCTTTTTAGATGATTTAATGTTCGTCTCGATGGATTTTTGGTAATAAAAGATGATCGCACGTGTCTAAGTTTATTAAAAGTTACTTCATTTGCATATTTGAATAAAGATAACAAAGTGATGATTTATAATTTTTTAAATATTTGTAATTAAAATTTTACTATATACCATAGCTATCACGTGTCCTGTTTTATTCACAATAATTTCAAATTCGCAACAATCAAACTGCACCAGCATCAGTTTCAATGATACATGCGATATTACTTGCTTGGATGGATATTATAACGATGGAGATAAACAAGCAAAATGCACAGATTCAAATAAAAATAATGATACAAATAGAGATGGTAATTGGCATGAAGGAAGCGCAAATTGTACAGGTAAAGTGATGTTGTGGAGAGGCAAACAAAAATTTCACAAATTGGACACAATTACACGAATTGTCTTCAAAAATTGAAAAAATTTTTGTTTAATAGTGTGTTGTGATGTTATATTACCCCCGATCGGAATGACTATTTTCATGTATATTGCAAGAATTATTTGTTGATGACCGATCATCATTTAGTTTAATATGAAAGCTGTGTTTGAATGTATACTTGTGTTAAGTAATCTTAAAAAAAACTTGTAAACGCTTTTTTGATATTGGTTCTCTATTCATAAAATTCATACAAACTGTTATCTGTAGCGATGTGCATGAACTTGTCTTTCGGATTCGCTTCCAGCCTTTTTGTCTATACCTCAAGTTTTGGTTGTGATTGCGATATTCCCAAAAATATATACCAAAATAATTACGAAAAAGATGTATCAGTATAATATATGTCTAGTTTTTGTTTCAAGTTGTTTCGAAGAAGTGCATATTATATGTATAAATGAATATCGTTATCTTTGGTGTATGTATGCGTCCCTTTTTTAGATGATTTGATGTTTGTCTCGATGGATATTGGTAATAAAAGATGATCCCACGTGTCTAAGTATATTGAAAGTTACTTTCTTTGCATATTTGGATAAAGATAACAAAGTGATGATTTATAATTTTTCAAATATTTGTATTTACCATATTACTATATACCATAGCTATCACGTGTCCTGTTTTATTCACAATAATTTCAAATTCGCAACAATCAAACTGCACCAGCAATAATTTCAATGATAAATGCGATATTACTTGCTTGGATGGATATTATAACGATGGAGATAAACAAGCAACCTGCACAGATTCAAATCAAAATAATGATACAAATAGAGATGGTAATTGGGATAAAGGAAGCGCAAATTGTACAGGTAAAGTGATGTTGTGGAGAGGCAAACAAAAATTTCCCAAATCGGACACATATACAGGAATTGTCTTCACAAATCAAAAAATTTTCTTGTTTAATAGCGAGTTGCGATGTTATATCACCCCCGACCGGAATGGCTATTTTCATATATATTGTAAGAATTATTTGTTGATGGCTGATCATCAAATATTTTGATATGAGAGCTAAGTTTGAATGTATACTTGTGTTAAAAATGTTAAAGAAACTTCGAAGGCTATTTTGATATTGGTTCCCTAGTCATAAAATGCTTACAAACTGTTATCTATATAGCGATGTGCATGAAATTGGTCTTTCGGATTCGTTTTTAGACTTTTTGTCTACCTCAAGTTTTGGTTGTGATTGCGAAACTCAAAAATAATATACCAAAATAATTACAAAAAGATGTATTAGTATATTATATGTCTAGTTTTTTTTTTTCCAAGTTGTTTCGAAGAAGTGCATATTATATGTAGAAATGAATATCGTTATTTTTGGTGTATGTATGCGTCCCCTTTTTTAGATGATTTAATGTTTGTCTCGATGGATTTTTGGTAATAAAAGATGATCCCACGTGTCTAAGTATATTAAAAGTTACTTTCTTTGCATGTTTGGATAAAGATAACAAAGTGATGATTTATAATTTTTTAAATATTTTTCAATCAACGTTTCACTATATATCATAGCTATCACGTGTCCTGTTTCATTCACAATAATCTCAAATTCGCAACAATCAAACTGCACCAGCAATAGTTTCAATGATAAATGCGATATTACTTGCTCGGATGGATATTATAATGATGGAGATAAACAAGCAACATGCACAGATTCAAATGAAAATAATGATACAAATAGAGATGGTAATTGGGATGAAGGAAGCGCAAATTGTACAGGTAGAGTGATGTTGTGGAGAAGCAAACAAAAATTTCAGAAATAGGACAAAATTACACGAATTGATTTCACAAATCAAACAAGTTTCCTGTTTAATAGCGTGTTGCGATGTAATATTACCCCCAGTCGGAATGGCTATTTATATATATATTGTAAGAATTATTTGTTGATGGCTTATCATCATTTATTTTGTTATGAGAGCTAAGTTTGAATGTATACTTGTGTTAAAATATGTTGAAAAAACTTGCGAAGACTATTTTGATATTGGTTCTCAATTCATAAAATTCTTAGAAACTGTTATCTATAGCGATGTGCATGAAATTGAACTTTCGGATTCGCTTGCAGCCTTTTTGTCTATATATACCTTAAGTTTTGGTTGTGATTGCGATATTCACAAAAATATATACCAAAATATTTACGAAAAAGATGTATCAGTATATTATATGTCTAGTTTTTTTTTCAAGTTGTTTTGAAGAAGTGCATATTATATGTAGAAATGAATATCGTAATCTTTGGTGTATGTATGTGTCCCATTTTTAGATGATTTAATGTTGGTCTCGATGGATTTTTGGTAATAAAAGATGATCGCACGTGTCTAAATTTATTGAAAGTTACTTTCTTTGTATATTTGGATAAAGATAACAAAGTGATGATTTATAATTTTTTAAATATTTGAAATTAAAATTTTACTATATACCATAGCTATCACGTGTCCTGTTTTATTCACAATAATTTCAAATTCGCAACAATCAAACTGCACCAGCATCAGTTTCAATGATACATGCGATATTACTTGCTTGGATGGATATTATAACGATGGAGATAAACAAGCAACATGCACAGATTCAAATAAAAATAATGATACAAATAGAGATGGTAATTGGCATGAAGGAAGCGCAAATTGTACAGGTATAGTGATGTTGTGGAGAGGCAAACAAAAATTTCACAAATTGGACACAATTACACGAATTGTCTTCAAAAATTAAAAAAAATTTTTGTTTAATAGTGTGTTGTGATGTTATATTACCCCCGATCGGAATGACTATTTTCATGTATATTGCAAGAATTATTTGTTGATGACCGATCATCATTTAGTTTAATATTAAAGCTGTGTTTGAATGTATACTTGTGTTAAGTAATCTTAAAAAAAACTTGTAAACGCTTTTTTGATATTGGTTCTCTATTCATAAAATTCATACAAACTGTTATCTGTAGCGATGTGCATGAACTTGTCTTTCGGATTCGCTTCCAGCCTTTTTGTCTATACCTCAAGTTTTGGTTGTGATTGCGATATTCACAAAAATATATACCAAAATAATTACGGAAAAGATGTATCAGTATAATATATGTCTAGTTTTTGTTTCAAGTTGTTTCGAAGAAGTGCATATTACATGTAGAAATGAATATCGTTATCTTTGGTGTATGTATGCGTCCCCTTTTTAGATGATTTAATGTTTGTCTCGATGGATTTTTGGTAATAAAAGATTATCGCACGTGTCTAAGTTTATTAAAAGTTACTTCATTTGCATATTTGAATAAAGATAACAAAGTGATGATTTATAATTTTTTAAATATTTGTAATTAAAATTTTACTATATACCATAGCTATCACGTGTCCTGTTTCATTCACAATAATTTCAAATTCGCAACAATCAAACTGCACCAGCATCAGTTTCAATGATACATGCGATATTACTTGCTTGGATGGATATTATAACGATGGAGATAAACAAGCAACATGCACAGATTCAAATGAAAATAATGATACAAATAGAGATGGTAATTGGGATGAAGGAAGCGCAAATTGTACAGGTACAGTGATGTTGTGGAGAGGCAAACAAAAATTTCACAAATTGGACACAGTTACACGAATTGTCTTCACAAATTAAAAAAAATTTTTGTTTAATAGTGTGTTGTGATGTTATATTACCCCCGATCGGAATGACTATTTTCAAGTATATTGCAAGAATTATTTGTTGATGACCGATCATCATTTAGTTTAATATTAAGGCTGTGTTTGAATGTATACTTGTGTTAAGTAATCTTAAAAAAAACTTGTAAACGCTTTTTTGATATTGGTTCTCTATTCATAAAATTCATACAAACTGTTATCTGTAGTGATGTGCATGAACTTGTCTTTCGGATTTGCTTCCAGCCTTTTTGTCTATACCTCAAGTTTTGGTTGTGATTGCGATATTCACAAAAATATATACCAAAATATTTACGAAAAAGATGTATCAGTATAATATATGTCTAGTTTTTGTTTCAAGTTGTTTCGAAGAAGTGCATATTATATGTATAAATGAATATCGTTATCTTTGGTGTATGTATGCGTCCCTTTTTTTAGATGATTTAATGTTTGTCTCGATGGATATTGGTAATAAAAGATGATCCCACGTGTCTAAGTATATTGAAAGTTACTTTCTTTGCATAGTTGGATAAAGATAACAAAGTGATGATTTATAATTTTTCAAATATTCGTATTTACCATATTACTATATACCATAGCTATCACGTGTCCTGTTTTATTCACAATAATTTCAAATTCGCAACAATCAAACTGCACCAGCAATAATTTCAATGATACATGCGATATTACTTGCTTGGATGGATATTATAATGATGGAGATAAACAAGCAACGTGCACAGATTCAAATCAAAATAATGATACAAATAGAGATGGTAATTGGGATAAAGGAAGCGCAAATTGTACAGGTAAAGTGATGTTGTGGAGAGGCAAACAAAAATTTCCCAAATCGGACACAAATACAGGAATTGTCTTCACAAATCAAAAAATTTTCTTGTTTAATAGCGAGTTGCGATGTTATATCACCCCCGACCGGAATGGCTATTTTCATATATATTGTAAGAATTATTTGTTGATGGCTGATCATCAAATATTTTGATATGAGAGCTAAGTTTGAATGTATACTTGTGTTAAAAATGTTAAAGAAACTTCGAAGGCTATTTTGATATTGGTTCTCTAGTCATAAAATGCTTACAAACTGTTATCTATATAGCGATGTGCATGAAATTGGTCTTTCGGATTCGTTTTTAGACTTTTGTCTACCTCAAGTTTTGGTTGTGATTGCGAAACTCAAAAATAATATACCAAAATATTTACAAAAAGATGTATCAGTATATTATATGTCTAGTTTTTTTTTCCAAGTTGTTTCGAAGAAGTGCATATTATATGTAGAAATGAATATCGTTATTTTTGGTGTATGTATGCGTCCCCTTTTTTAGATGATTTAATGTTTGTCTCGATGGATTTTTGGTAATAAAAGATGATCCCACGTGTCTAAGTATATTAAAAGTTACTTTCTTTGCATATTTGGATAAAGATAACAAAGTGATGATTTATAATTTTTTAAATATTTTTCAATCAACGTTTCACTATATACCGTAGCTATCACGTGTCCTGTTTCATTCACAATAATTTCAAATTCGCAACAATCAAACTGCACCAGCAATAGTTTCAATGATAAATGCGATATTACTTGCTTGGATGGATATTATAATGATGGAGATAAACAAGCAACATGCACAGATTCAAATGAAAATAATGATACAAATAGAGATGGTAATTGGGATGAAGGAAGCGCAAATTGTACAGGTAAAGTGATGTTGTCGAGAGGCAAACAAAAATTTCACAAATCGGACACAATTACACGAATTGTCGTCACAAATTAAAAAAAATTTTCTGTTTAATAGTGTGTTGTGATGTTATATTACCCCCGATCGGAATGACTATTTTCATGTATATTGTAAGAATTATTTGTTGATGACCGATCATCATTTAGTTTAATATTAAAGCTGTGTTTGAATGTATACTTGTGTTAAATAATCTTAAAAAAAACTTGTAAACGCTTTTTTGATATTGGTTTTCTATTCATAAAATTCATACAAACTGTTATCTGTAGCGATGTGCATGAACTTGTCTTTCGGATTCGCTTCCAGCCTTCTTGTCGACTTCAAGTTTTGGTTGTGATTGCGATACTCACAAAATAATATACCGAAATAATTACGAAAAAGATGTATCAGTATATATGTCTAATTTTTTCAAGTTGCTCATAAAGATGTGCATATAATATGTAGCAATGAATATTGTAACCTTTATGTATGTATGCGTCCCCTCTTTTAAATGATTTAATGTTTGTCTCGATGGGTATTATAGTAATAAAAGATGATCCCACGTGTCTAAGTATATTGAAAGTTACTTTCTTCGCATATTTGGATAAAGATAACAAAGTAATGATTTACAATTTCTCAAATATGTGTATTCACAATATTACTATATACCATAGCTATCACGTGTCCTGTTTCATTCGCAATAATTTCAAATTCGCAACAATCAAACTGCACCAGCATCAGTTTGAATGATAAATGCGATATTACTTGCTTGGATGGATATTATAACAATGGAGATAAACACGCAACATGCATAGACACAAATAAAAATAATGATACAAATAAATATGGTGATTGGGATAAAGGAAGCGCAAATTGTACAGGTAAAGTGATGTTGTGGAGAGAAAAACAAAAATTTCACAAATTGGACATAATTACACGAATTGTCTCCACAAATCGAAAAATTTTCTGTTAAATAATGGCAAGTTGCAATGTTATATTACCCCCAGCCGGAATGACTACTTTTATATATATTAAAAGAATTATTTGTTGATGGCTTATCATCATTTATTTTGATATTAGAGCTAAGTTTGAATGTATACTTGTGTTAAAAATGTTAAAGAAACTTCGAAGGCTATTTTGATATTGGTTCTCTATTCATAAAATGCTTACAAACTGTTATCTATAGCGATGTGCATTAAATTGTCCTTTCGGATTCGCTTTCAGCCTTTTTGTCTATACCTCAAGTTTTGGTTGTGATCGCGATATTCACAAAAATGTATACCGAATCAATTACGAAAAAGATGTATCAGTATATATATTATATGTCTAGTTTCTTTTTTTAAGTTGTTTCGAAGGAATGCATATTATATGTAGAAATGATTATCGTTATCTTTGGTGTATGTATGCGTCCCCTTTTTTTAAATGATTTAATGTTTGTCTCGATGGATTTTTGGTAATAAAAGATGATCGCACGTGTCTAAGTTTATTAAAAATTACTTCATTTGCATATTTGGATAAAGATAACAAAGTGATCGTTTATAATTTTTTAAATATTTGTAATTAAAATTTTACTATATACCATAGCTATCACGTGTCATGATTCATTCACAATAATTCCAAATTCGCAACAATCAAACTGCGCCAGCAATAGTTTCAATGATAAATGCGATATTACTTGCTGGGAAGGATATTATAACGATGGGGACAAACAAGCAACTTGCGTAGATATAAATGATGATAATGATACAAACAGTGATGGCGAATGGTATGAAGGAAGTGCAAATTGTAAAGGTAATGTAGAATCGCGAATCGTGTGATTACCCTGCTGTCGCTAAAATCCATTGAATCCATTATATTGATGTTTTACCAAATAGTAATAGGTAATAGGACTTTAGTAAAAGTTGAATTTATACAAACTAGACATTGGTTTAAACATGAGTTTTCATGCCAAGATAACTTGCATTGTATTGGCTTTTAGCATATATGGTGTTGTCAACTAATCAAACTACATATGTTGGCATCGATAACCAAAACATTACAATGTATGTGCAAGTAAAGTCTCAGACAGATGATGTCAGCATAGCAGTCATTCTAGTATCATCGCCTCGAGGCGTTACCGAGTCATTGGATCAACTTGAATCAAAAGAAGGAATCACCACTTATGGGCTTACAATCGAAAATCTCACCACTGCTGACGCTGGGGAATGGACAATTCAATCTCAGTCTTCTTCCGATGATGAGGAATTGTATCCCAATATTAATCAAAACCTCACCCTTAACCTAAGAATGGAAGGTAATATGGTTTATATAGCACCCTTTATTGCTCCTATTTGCAGGGATACCGTCTGCAAACTTTTGGTGTCAAAGTTTTATGTTTAATTACGTTACGGTTCTGTAAAGATTTCTAATCGTTCAGGTTAGTATTACATTGTCATATTTGAAATTTAGTTAATTTCGTACTACTGACTTTATGTGCTGTTAGTTTTTGCTAGAAGGCGTTAAATTTTTATTTTTTCAGTTATTCCAGAAAATTTGGTCCTCACACCAACTTCACCATTCACATATATACTGAAATCGAGTAATAACACGGTGGTTTGTGACGCATTTGGAGTTCCCGAACCTGATTTCGAGTGGACAGATACAGAAGGAAATTCTTTAACTGATGGGATAATATCTGTCAAAGAAACTTTATTTCTGAAAAACTCGTATTTTTCCGACAATGGCACCTACCGATGTAAAGCTACTAATGACGCATCAGAGCGTAGTGGTGATACTCCAACTAAAGATATCGAAATAAGAATTGAAGGTGTGTAAACAGTTCCCAACTGAAGTAGTAGAAACTTATCAACAGCTAGGTTTGTTTAAAAGCAATGATAAACAATACAGACTACTGGACTAGCTACTCCTGTATAAACAGTAAAATCATTCATAAATTCTCGATCTTCCGACGTTGAAAGTTTTTGACAGTTTTTCGAAACAGCTTCACCACAGTTCAACTCGTAGAATCTTGTTGATTCTCTTGACGTTTGTTTATTTTTTGCTTCAACTTACATATAATACTGCAACTAAAAAACAACCGTCAAATTACCAGTATCATTAAATTTTAAATTGTCCGCATTGCATAGTCCTCGTCGGTGTATTTTCAATTAGTAAAACAGTACTCTTTTAAATTAAGTGACAACGCACCATCGGCATCGATGGTTCTCAAACTTCTTATCGTTGTCCTACATATGTCTACAAAAATCATTTACATCCAGAATTGCTATAGAATTGCTCGTCATAATTTACGAGATTTTATTGCTAACTATGGTATTTAAGAAATTGATGAGTAAGGGTAACTGTTATTAGCAGTAATAACATTATTAACGGTGGCAACATCTATTTGATTCGAGGTTTATATTTATTTAAATTACGTACGATACGTAATTTTCTTTCGCAGAACAAATCATACAAAGAATCATAAACGAATGTTTTTTTTTTAATTTACGAATTAACTTTTGCGCGTCACAATGCAGGATAGCTGCAGGTTTGGCCAGAAACGAAATTTTCCCCTTCAATATCTTGAATCATGACATTCATTTCAATTCAAATATCGGTAAATACTTTTTTAATTTTGGGTGTATTTTGATGCCACCAAAAGAGTTCATGTGCGTTAAAGTACAATGTTCAATTACAATATTTATCGCTGTAATTTTTTTCAGGATCTCCTATAATAACCGGTGAAAATCAAAGCTTTGATCCTATTGATAATATCACATTAACATGTTACATGGATGCAAATCCGATTCCTATTGATATATACTGGACGACAAATAGCAGCAAGGATTATGCTGCTGGTGTATTCTCTACTGCATCGGAAACTGTGAACGATAATAGCGGAAAATATTACAAATACGAAACAAGTTTAGCATTAACTTCTCAGCTATGCATGGGGGAACAGCAAGTTGCATGTCAAGCAAATAACACAATTGGTGGAAGTGATGAAACACAGATTTTTACCATAAACATAGGTTTGTGAGAAATGTAAAATGAGTTTTCAAATGTAGAGATAGTTTACAAAATATTTCTGCAAGAAATGATGCTAAAATTAAAATTATATTACATCAATATTTCTTAAATAATGGTTCTACGTTTACAGGAAATTACGATTTGCACAGTGAATATTACTATATATTTTTCGATGATCCTCTGGCATATGACAAATCAGAAAAAAAATGCCAATCTTTGGATGGGCATCTAGTTTACATCACCACTGAGGATATTCAGGAATATTTAAACACTAAGGCAGATTACGGTAATATGAAATTTATGCAATCAGCATTCCAATCATAACATGATCACCAATATTTCTCACCTTTTGCACTTGACCAATCTTTTCTTTTTGAAAATTTCAATTTAATGCAGTTGTAAAACCTTGTTGATATTGCAACAAAGGTAAATTTAGAGTTGGGATCAATACATTACATATACAATACATTATATATTGGACTTTTCTGCTCAGCGAATATATCGATTAGAAAGTCTGAAACTTTGTAACTGAAAGTTGAAAATATTGAATTTTGCAGCTGTCCAATAACGGATGACCTTGTTTTCATATCTATCAAATTGAAAATAACAATACTAGTAAATATCCACTGTTTTTTAATGAAGACTACTACATTGGTCTTATGGAAGACGGTGGCGAGTGGAGATGGGGATCTGACGGCCCATACTTGAATGAAACCTACAGCAATTTCACCGATGGGGATGATCCATCTGAAGGTGACTGTGTTATTTCGACTACGGATGGATGGAATACAACCTCATGCAACAAAGATTACAAATACATATGCCAGCTTAAAGGTACGGTTTGCCAACGACTCTTTCTCAAACAATTAGGTAGATTAGCATTTTCAACTCCATTTTAGCTTCAGGAATTCCGAAAGAAGTTGCAGTATCAAGGAACGATTGTGACGGAAAGTACTTAGATGTCAACTGGCAACCATTTGACGATGACTTCGCAACAACTCTTCATCGGATCGAAATCACTAATGTTAATGGCACATCGATCGATCCCATAATCTTCAACTGCATTAGTCCGTGTGATTACAATTACAAGAATTCAAGTTTAACTCCAGATACGCAATATCTAATTGAGGTATATGCTACGTAAAGGCAGTTTTATTTTACTATAGGTTATAACTACTGAATCTTTCCTTGCTCAATAACTTTGTTAAATGTTATTTCCAAAGAATCATCTTATGATAATTGATATTGAAGAAACAAATTCGTCCATAGAAGTCGAAGTTTCCCTTTTGGGTAAAGTATAAAATTAAATTGAACAAAATGATTTTGAAAACAAAAATGATTAATTATAATAAAATCTTCCATTTAATAATATATGCATAGGGGGATATATGGATATATGCTGTAATTTATCATATTTTGACACATATCGATTCATTGTATGAATTTTTTTCAATGATTGTACGAGCGATATTGTGCCATTTGCTGTTTATCATACTGAGCTTTATATTCGTTTCCAGATATATGCAGGTGTTGATAGATGTAAAATGTTTCTACCGTCTGCATCTGTTTTACAAACAACAGGCAAAGGAACACCGAAACAAGTTTCTGACGCCAGCATGACACAAAATTCACAAGAAAATGTTTGCACTATTACATGGTCGTATAACGAAACTTTGGCATGGCAGATTGACAATTATACCGTGAGTTATAAAATCCACAAATTGGAAGCATCATTTTGCTATGGGGTTTTGGTTTTGGCTATACCTGCTTACACCGTGATTCACTTCTTATTTGCAATAAACCCTCCGAAACGTCACAAATATCTACGACTTGCCCATACACGCCGTGTCGTTTATGAAGATAAAAAAGAATATATTCCCTATAAAACGACGATAAATGCAATTTTATTTGTGTAAAAATCCAAGCTTTGCAACACTTGAATAACGAAATCAAGGTCCAATGTGGAACTTACACCAAAAAGCAATAGTGTCGAAGAATATATTCCACGTTATCCGTATTCAATTTATCTAAATAAATGTCCCGACAAAAAATATGCGTAAACACACAATGTTGTAGAATGTTCTTGCTTATAGCGTCTGCGAGGTAGACCTCCGTCACAGCAGGGCTACATCGTCGGTAATAATTGATGTTATGGGTTACTGAGTTATTACCAGTCGATAACTTGTACGACTTCGATAAGGTCATTTGAGCCTATTACCGTTGCTGCAAGGAAGGGGCTTGAAACAAAATTTAGGTAATTGTGTGACACTGTAGTTATATACACAATTAAATTAAGTCCACTTGTTCAATTGGTTCAATTGTTCAATTGGTACCGGCAGTCCGGATATCGGGTAGCAAATAGATCATAATCTTATCGAATTGCCATCGGTCCACCAGTATTATGTATTGAATCAGAATTTTGGGAGTTTTATTTCGTCAAAGAAAACATTATCTTTCCTCGTTTGGTTAGGCACAGAAAAGGATCAGGCATAGCATGAGGGTCCGTCAAAAATAAAATTCACAAACAGGGGTCCAAGGCCCCAAAACGTTTGGAAAACTTTGGTCGACCATCATGTCTCCATCCCTATTTCCCAGATGCACTAATTTCTACATCCAGTTCCCTTCACTATTTATAATGATGAATTGTTACTTGAAACAATTACACTCATGATGACATGAACTACTTTTACGCACTTTGATACATTACTCTTTATTTGTAGGTAACCATTAATACGCAACTCAATGTTGATACCGGGGAGAACGTTGAAATCACCCCAATGGTTAAAACCACAGAAGCCATGAACATTGTTTTTGAAATGGAACCAAACTCTAAGTACACTTCAAACATATTTGCCGTATCGTGTGCTGGAAAAGGGGAAGCATTTGAAGCAGATCTGGATTGTACTACTCCTGTTTCTGGTATTCTGACATTTTGCATTCTAATCTGTTTTTATATTGTGAAAGCGTAGTTTTTGCAACATCACATTGAGATCAAAAAGCACAATTTTTGATTAGCTAAGTGGAAATTTTTAATATAAATATAAATACTTATTATACAATCTCAAACTCATGTTTTATATAAGCTCCTGAAACCGTACCAGAAGCAATATCACCGCCAAAACCAGATTCTAAGTTTGACCCAGCAAGCGGAATTGAAGTTACCGTCGCCGCAGTTGATCAAAGATATGGTCCAGTAAGGTAAAATATATGATGGATGATATACATGATATGATAGCAAAAAATAACTTTTAATTATTTGCAATATACTGTCTCGCACGGATAATTAATTGTCACATAGGTTTTCCTTAGTACGAATTACACTCACAAAGCTGGTTTGAATTAGAATAAATCGATTCAACGATTAACATAAGAGTAATGGCAGTGGGTTGAAATTGTTATCTCGCCTACTAGCTATAACATCTCATAAATCAAAAAAAAATTGAAGTCAACAAGCTCGGCAATTTTTGTTTAAGATTCTCCAATTAATGTTTCAATATGCTACTTTCGGTTCACATACGGAATATGAATCATTCCTACCTACAAATTTATACATTGCTTTAAAGTAGAACGACTTTTAATTACTCAAAACAACAAATTTGATTTCATTTTCAGTTTGCATGTGGTATTGATTAATATGTTAAAGACATCATGACTACAATGTAAAGTGTTTTTGACCAGAATCGAATCAAAATAGCAATTTTGTATGATGTTTGATATTTTAGCTGTGTTTTTGTCGTTGTGACGGTTGATGGTTCCAAACAAAAAAGTGAAGACAGAAAAATCGATAGTAATACAGCTTTCGAAGAAGCTAATGAGGAAAAAAATGGACAATATTTTGCCTACGTTACATCAAAGTAAGAAATACATTTGGTCAGACATTACTTATGGTATATTTCTTGTTATCCGATATACTGTAATTTTTCGTGACGTTGTAGAACTCCAGTTTATCTAAATGCATAAATTATTATGTATCTATAGTGTTTTATGAGTGATGTCTTAGGACGTTTTATATTTTATATCTCAATGTTAACTTATTGAAAAGGTATTCTTGTGATCCTCATTTCAAGTGCGTCCGAAACTTTCACCATTACTCTCGGCAAGGGGCGTGGTACTACCTCTTGCAATCCGATAAATAATGTTGCAAGAAAGAAAAGGGCGACTTATAAGGATGTGAATGAAGTTGAAGCAACTAATAAAATTTGGATTATGAAAAATATTATCGTTATTACGTGTTAACAACAACACCATCTTCCGAATCAGAGTTTCTGACTCAAATAAGTGAATTGTCTCCGTCATATGTGACAAGTACGTGATTTTAATTTTTTTTTTTAATTGGTTTGATGATTCATTTATAGCATTCATTATGATTTCATTTTTTCTACTGAACTTTATCATATATATATAACTCTATTACGGTAGTTAAACGGACCTGCCATAATTGCAGTACTTAAGCGGACGTCGTTCCTGTGGGCGTATCATTGTTTTTAAATACGTACTTGGAGAGCGCGAGAGCCGTTGACAACTACGGAGAAAAAGAGTCAACACAATCCTCTCGATAACAGATATAAAATTTTTGTCCGCTTAATTCGTCCACTTAATTCAGACCACCAAATGTTTTAGTTAGCCTATTTCGGCACTAAGCCGGACCCCTCTTATATGTCGCCCTGGATGTCTACATAAATGATGTTGCTTTTATTTTAATACGCATTTTAAAGCGTATGACCTCGCTTTAGTTTCCGATGGATTTGAACCATTTAGCAATATTTATCACAAAAAATAGCATTTTTTTTCAATGCAAGGGAAATGCACTGTGTTTGGTGTAGGAAATAATCTTCCATGTCAAAAAATACTCAAAATGCAACGTGAAGATAGACAAATCGAAACAAATTGATCCAAACGTGTTATATATTTGAAACTGAGAAATACACAGAGCATATCACAAATGTTCGCCTATTCCAACCCTATGGTTCAATTAAACATATGCTATGTTGTGAGTGCCAAGATATCAATACCAAGTCAAAATTATGGCATTCCAATAATATTGATAAACATTGCGCAAAATATATCTCAAAAACCCGCATATCTATATGGCTAGTTATTAAGCGTGACATATAATTGAAAAACAAAATTTCGAAATGCCATACATATTGAGAAACAATGCACAAAATATCACCAATTTGATTGCTAAAGTGTGAAATATTATTTTTAAAAGGAAGTGTGGTATAAAATAGTAAACTAAAACATGAAAGTGCTAATAATATTGAGAAACAATAAAAGAAAATTATATATACGCAGAAGGAACCGCAAGAATGAAATTCGGAAATGCCAATAATATTGAAAAAATATCACATAAACTTTATCTCAAATGTCCACCTATCCCGGCCTTTTAAGTTATACAATAATTGTAAATGGGAATTCTGGTATGTCATTAATGAAGACAAAAAATCACACAAATTGGATTTCAAATGTCCATCTATTCGGTCACTCAAATGTGGCACGTAATTAAAAAATGTACACCAGCCCTATTGAGAAACATTACACAAAATATATCTTAAATGTCCACTTATCCGACCTCCTAAGGGTGGCATACAACAATTGAAAGAAAATTCTTAAACCATATTGAGAAACATTACATGAAATATATCTCAAATGTCCACCAATCCGGCCACCTAAGTGTGGCATACAAGAATTGGAATAAAAATTCTGAAATCATGTTGCGAAACATTACACAAAGTATATCTCAAATGTCCACCTATCCGGCCACCTAAGTGTAGCATACAAAAATTGAAATAAAACTTCTGAAATCATATTGAGGAACATTAAACAAAGTATATCTCAAATGTCCACCTATCCGGCCACCTAAGTGTGGCATAAAACAATCAAAATAAAAACTCTGAAATCATATTGAGAAACATCACACAAAGTATATCTCAAATGTCCACTTATCCGACCACCTAAGTGTGGCATAAAACAATCAAAATGAAAACTCTGAAATCATATTGAGAAACATCACACAAAGTATATCTCAAATGTCCACCTATCCGGCCACCTAAGTGTAGCATACAAAAATTGAAATAAAACTTCTGAAATCATATTGAGAAACATTACACAAAGTATATACCAAATGTTCACCTATCCGACCACCTAAGTGTGGCATAAAACAATCAAAATGAAAACTCTGAAATCATATTGAGAAACATCACACAAAGTATATCTCAAATGTCCACCTATCCGGCCACCTAAGTGTGGCATACAAAAATTGAAATAAAACTTCTGAAATCATATTGAGAAACATTACACAAAGTATATCTCAAATGTCCACCTATCCGACCACCTAAGTGTGGCATGAAACATTAAAATGAAAATTCTGAAATTGTAATGAGAAACCTTATACGAAGTATATCTCAAATGTCCACCTATGCGGCCACCTAAGTGTGGCATACAAGAATTGAAATGAAAATTCTAAAATTATATTGAGAAATATTACACAAAGTATATCTCCAATGCCCACCTATCCGGCCATCTAAGTGTGGCATACAAAAATTGAAATGAAAATTCTGAAATCATATTGAGAAACATTACACAAAGTATATCTCAAATGTCCACCTATCCGACCACCTAAGTGGGGCATAAAACAATCACAATGAAATTCTGAAATCATATTGAGAACATACACAAAGTATATCTCAAATGTCCCACTATCCGACCACCTAAGTGGGCATAAAACAATCACAATGAAAATTCTGAAATCATATTGAGGAACATTACACAAAGTATATCTCAAATGTCCACCTATCCGGTCACCTAACTGTGGCATACAAGAACTGAAATGAAAATTCTGAAATAATATTGAGAAACATTACACAAAATATATATCTCAAATGTCCGCATATCCGACTACCTAAGTGTGGCATACAACTATTGAAACCAATTCCTGAAGTCATATTGAGAAATCTTACACAAAATATATCTCAAATGTCAACTTATTCGACCACTTAAGTGTGTGAAATATAACTAAAATACGAAATTTCGAATACTAATCATATTTTGATGTTGTGGAAAATTGCTCAAAATTTATCTCAAATGTTGACCTATCCGATAACTTGAGAGTGACAAATATTAAAACATTTTGAACAATACAGAAAATATATCGCAAATCGTCATCTACTCAGCTACGTAAGTGTGTCATGTAAATGCAAAAGGATATTTTGGAATGGCAATAATATTAAGAAGCATTCAAAAAAAATTTCAACCATCCGACCTTTTCAGAATGTATGTAATTAAAACACGAAATTCTAAAAAAATATCGAGAAACATTACACACAACATATCTCAAATGTTCAATTAAGGGACGTTTTTTGTCATGTCAACTAAAATGAGAAACATTACACCAATTATAACTCAAATCGGGGCTCCCGAAGTATGCGAACCAAGATGACGGACATCGGAATGTAATATGTGTACTAGGTTAGGGTTAGGCCATAATTTTAGGTATAAATACTACGGGAAGCTCTTGGCTAGTCTTCGAACTGATAATAGGACTAAAATAAAGAAAATTGGAAAAAAATTATTGTCTGACCCTAACCTGTTACCCATGTTACGTTCCGATGTCCGCCATCTTTGTTCGCATACTTCGGGAGCACCCTCAAATGTCTACCTTTCAGGGCGCACCTAAGTATAGCAGTGATTATACATTCAACTACGTATACAAGCAATCAACATGAAAATATTGAACCCCAATATCAATTTAGAATCTTTGCACAATTTATTTAAAATTTTTGCACCAACTCGGAATACAAAAACATGATTGTTATTTTGATTTTATAATTAAATTGTAAAAAGGTATGCCAAGTATGTATACGAATGTGGATATGCCCACTAGATTAAGTTGTTGAGGAGAGACAAAATTATGCTCACTGCCGGTTCATCTTTATGAATTATATAGAGATGTCTTAGAGCTTTACAATAAACTTCTCGCAAGATATACAAAGCCGTGCAATTATTTTTCTTTCGTCGTTTCTTTTCTGGTTCGCGTTTATTTAGAAGCTTTTTTTGGAATTGATTTACAGCCTTTTTCTTTTCCATATATATGGTTTTCTTTGAAATCAATTAGACTGCTTATTGAAAGTGATTCTGAAGATGGTGCGGTATAGTCTGTTGACTAATCTGAAATTTTGGTCAAAAATACATGCATAAGTCACAAAACATCATCACAGTGTTTTAGTCCAATTCGGAATTACGGTACTCGATTGACCGAACAAACGAAATGTTTGAAATGGGGAATTGCATTATTACTCAAATAAACCAGAGTTTCTAAACGCTGCACTACAATTATTCGTAGATAGCTGCGCTATTTGTGATGGGCTACAAGTGATAATATGATTTGGTTTATTACCATTCATTGGTATCAATTTGAGATACCGTATTTAATAAAAAAAACAAGCATAGCGAACTCATTTAGTCACCTCCTGGCACAGCTTTTTCCGAATCACTACTCACATTTCCGTCTGCCAAGTTCTGAAACGTAGGCCATCTCGTTGGAAAGTCACCTACATGTGAACAAAAAATACAGCCCAGTAAATAACTAGATGAAGATGGTAAAATAACACAGGAATATGTGCCAAATCACAAAACAAAATTGCTAGCAATGCAATTCTTCAAAACTGTTTTCTGAAGATAAAATATTCTAATCTAATATGAGCGGTGTATTAGATATTTTTATTTATACCAAGCCATAGAAACCTATACTGAGTGGCGTCAACCACTCGCTTCTCGTATCGCCTTCTGTTAGGAGAAAAATTGAATTCATTGAATTTTCACAATCTTCGTTTGTATTGTCATCTGGATTTAGAAATCCTTCTGAATTACACACTCTTACAAACGCAAACCCAGTCGTAGCATTATTTTGATGGTCAGATCAGAACTACGACCAGTTAAAGCATAACAGTATCAGTAGTCTATATTTTGATAATCTGGATTACTTAAAAAATCCAACACCAAACATATAGTATCCCTAATATTTAAAATTGTTATGACTAATCACCTTATCCGATGAGTGATGATTTCCAGCAGCTTTCCTCGGTGACGTTGAAACCTTATTTCAAGTTATTATGACTCGACTTCAACTCACTGAGTAATTGATAACACCTAACACAAACGACTTATTATCGCTTCTCCAAACACAACTGTTCTATTTTATCTAAGTTTCTGCAATCACGCACTCATGAAGATCCCAATCCCCTCACGGCGTCCAGGTTACTTGCGAACAAAACGGCAAACGTGGTAAAGTTCTTGGCGAACCCGACAGTTTTACTATTGCGACACAAAGCCTCTTTAGTACGGAGTTGGGAATTGAGGTCCTTTTCAGTTTATTGACTTTATATTGCAAAAAACAGAACGAACGATCTTCATGTTATGCCTTGTTATTGTATCAAAATTATCAAACCTACTCTCCAAAAATCGTAAAGACATATACCGAAAAATTTAAAGATTTTTGCATAAACAAAATGTCAACTTAATGTACGAAAATTAAACCCGTTGATTATAAACCAGCAGAACTACTGTCCCCTTAAAGTTGACGAGAATGTGCAGATATTTAGAAAATATTGAAAGAACATATTATTTTTTATCATAGAAAAAAGTAATTTGAGCAAAAAATCGCAAAATGTTTCAATTATGGAACGTGGAATAATTAAGCGGACAGGAAAATGTCTACCCAATTTTTCCGTGTACATGACCGTCGCTTTTTTAGCACGGTATGTCTACTTAACTACCGTATTAGATATATATATATATATATATATATATATATATTGCAATTTTGTATATTGTTCAGTTTCAGTCGTATATACATACAATTTTATTTTTCTATGAATCCTCCGTATCCTACTACACAGAATGAAGTTTTCAAGATTCGAGAATTGTGTTAAAAAACATTTATTTGTAGTTAATATATATATATATATAATCATAATCTTTAAAATAACTATTCAATTCAAACTCTATTCAATTCATAAAGTTACCTCGAATTTGAGTTTACCCGAGATCTTACAATAAAATAAATTTGAATGAAAAAGAAAGTCTTCAACCGATTCTGATTTGAATTTCACAATCTTATATTTTAACAGGACACTTACGATCATATAAAAAAGTTAAGCCTGGATTAAATAATTCATCGTACGTGGTTTTAGTAATTCCAATCAAATTACTTTCAATTTCAGAGCCCTACCTTCTTTGGATTATTGGAGTGGTGATACCTATTCTCGTGATCATTGCTGCTGTATTAGGTTTCTTGTATTACAGGTATGTCCCAATGTTTGTTCCGACTCCAATATTAGGTGGATCGAAACTTAAGCAACTATCCACACATTGCAAGTTAAAAGAACCACGAACAAGTATATCGGATAGCTGTGGGTGTTCATCTTATTTATACATTAATAATCTGTGCGTGGTTCATAATGTCAAGAACGAATTAGGGACAAAATCTGCCCAGTATCTAACTTTATTGTTATAAATAAAAGATTTCTAATTGTCAAGCAATGAAAACGGAATGCAAATCTGTACGTTTTATTGTATGATTTGAAATATACATATATATATATATATCTGTTATCAATAATATCTATATATCTATAGCATACATGCACACTCTCGGAATTAATCCAATTAAGTAAGAGCAGTTATTTTCTTTGTTTATATTGCATTTTATGTAGATTGTAGGTATATTCAAGAGGTACGATGGCATTGTGCCATCCATATTTGAATGGATGAGTATCATTGCTTGTATTAGTGTAACACTGTAACATTATACAATTAATCAGCACTGAATCGGTACTTGCCATCATGACTAACCTAAAAGAATATAAATATTTTGAACATTTTTCAGGCGTCGTAAACAAAATAAGAAAAAGAATTCCGAATTTGGCGTACCGTTACCTGAACGTGAGTTTAATTTTAGTTTTCACAATGTTTATCAAGGTATATTTGCATTCTGGATCAATTCTAACGATCATAAAATATAACTCTGTCTCTGTAACAATGATGAATACTCGCCTGCAGAAATATTGATCTTGCAACACCTATTTGAAGTTTCTATACCGATGTTAGATTAGAATTGGTAAACCTGTGAACCTATTCAGTTCCCCCAGAGAGGACGATTATCATATTTACGAAAAGGTAGAAGCACAAATAGACGTCCAACCTCATCCAATCACAGCAAGCGATTTTGAAAATGACTATCAAGAATGCAGATGACAATAGACTTTTCCGAGAAGAATACAAGGTTTGAAATCCTTTTATAGTATTTTATACCTGATATAATTTTCTATAAATTTATTTTCTAGTAATTATCGTCTTTCAGTGGAACATATATTATGCTCATTTTATCTCAAAGATATCAATCACCTAAATGTGGTGTTATCTACGCCTAAGAGCACCTGTTACAGAAACATGCTTTACTAACTAACTCAAACCCTCGACCGAACTAATTCTTTATTGAAAAAGAAGTTTAATTATCTGCAATAAAGAAACCTATTTTGTCATATTTTACTGGCGCACATTGGCAAGTTTAGCGGCACTTCTAGTAACCAGTGTTATATTACAGTGATATATCGAAGTTATTTCAAATTGTAACCAGTTAATTAGTGATTTTAGAGATCAGTCTACATTCATATTATAACCACACCAAATCCATGCTTTTATGAATTTACATAATATGCACTGTGCTTTATTTTTTTATTCAGCTGAAAATGCGGTTGTCAGTCTTCAACAAACTGGAAACAAACTGTTACGTACTTAAACAAATTTATGCACAAGGGGATGGTTTCGTTGGATTGCGACTACGCATAATGACGTTGGTGTAGGACTGTACATACAATCTTGCTTAATCGAAATTATGAAAATCAACACTAAAATGGTCATTCTGATGTAGGCCAACCTGCTACTTCTGCAATTCTTCTACACCAGAGTAGATTGTTGGGTTTTCTCAAACGATATCATATGCGATCGACTACTCCGGGCATATGCGATCCAAGGATGGAAACAAAATCTTACTTAACAGATTTTCATTCAACAGAAGAAATATTTACTTTTCAGAAAAAATTTGTACCATGAAGTTGCTAGAGACGTCTAGATTTCTACTACTATCAAGATTACGTTTTTTGTATAATCTGAATAGTTCATTGCTGTAAACCTTTTAGAACTGACAATTGATGTTTTCATTCTTGTGTAGACGTTATATATATAGTCGATTTTATGGCGATCACTCGATAGTTTGTTTTATATATTTTTAAGCACGAAATGCCAGCATAGGTTTGTTTACACATTATCATCTAGAAACAATTTGTTCGGTTGTTTATTTACATGCCGTCTCACACATCGCACACTCACTTGTTCCACGTGTCCGACTTGTAACACGTGTCCCACTTGTGTCATTGTCCCGCGTGCCCTACTTGTGCCACTTTTACCACGTGCCCCGCTTGTACCACGTGTCCCACTTGTCTCACTCGTTCCACGTGTCCCACTTGTACCACGTGTCACTCTTGTCCAACGTGTCCCACTTGTACCACGTGTCCCACTTGTACCACGTGTCCTACTTGTCCTACTACTCGTAACATCGATCCTCTCTATTGCAATGCTGCCACTCAGATTATTTTAAAGATATAACCGTTATAATCTCACAAAGTAAAATATATTTTAGTACAATAAAACTTAATTGGATTAATTACTCTATCATCACAATCCGCGTCGCATCAAGTAGTATTTTTACCTACATTATATTCAGCATACCTTGGCGAATATCATTCCAATTATCGTTATCCCACTCATCTTGTTTGATGCACACAGCACTGTTTTGTTAAAGAAATATTGAAATAAATATCATCAAAAGTAATGTTGCAAATCGTTCCGACGTTAACAGTGCCCATACAGTCCGTAGTACCGTGCAGTGGATTCAAAAAGTACAGTTCTGGGCTAAATAACACAAGTTAAGTTTGGTATCGTTATAGAGAAACTGCGCAGGAATAAATGAGGAAGTAGAAAACAACCGGTTTAGAAAAGGAAAAATTCAGTTCAAAATCTATTTTATGCATATTCATTTTGATTTTAAATCTTTTACTTATGATTATTCCATTTCTAAGATCTATCATATTTCCTCCTAAAGATAGCTAAAATCAAGTCACAACCAAATTATAGTTCGAATAAAATCACTAAATATACCTGAGCATTGTAATACAACCAGATAACTGTTTAATTATAATATTTACCAGAAGACGGTTTGACCTTTCATAAATATGTTGGTAAGTATGCCGTAAAACGGTACACAATATGTTCGTATATATTCAATTCGCGAAAAAGTCCCTAATCAAAACCTTAAACAGTTTATATTTTTTTAATTTATATACCCCAAATAATATACTGAAACATTGAGATTTACATTGTATAATTTATGAATATGGTCTCTAATCATTGGTGATGAACGTCATTATTTACGAACCTATTGGAACATAGCGATGCCGATGAGTATACAACTTTTAATCCAACGAGTCCGACAGTTTTGGCGGGTGTCAGATGGATAATGCCCTGACAAGTTACAGTATTGATTGTAAACCTGTTAATTCTGTTTTTGATAAACCTTTAAAAAGCAGTTAAAAATTTCCTGTCTTATAGCTAGTTTCCTTTCACAGTTTTAAAACATACTCATTATTATAAATGGTATCTGCTAGTGGTTTCTGCAGCAATATTCCCGAACTTGAAGTATCTCAGAAGATTTGCAATCTAATTCAATAATATTGGACACGTTAGTGGACCTCTGCACCGTTTCAATTATGTTATTGTTGTTCTTGTTCTTTGACACGTTTTTGGACACCTAGTGGAAAACCTAAAAAGTCGCTTTTCTCTTTGATTACTGGACCAGTTGCTCTGAAATTTTCAATGGTTAAAAATAAAAAAAATTTGAGAAGGCTATTACTTTCATTTATTTCAAATATTTCTGATAGCACTGTGGGATTCGTTTTTTTTTGACACGTAATTTAATTTGTTTTTATGCTGGCACCCTTTTTGTTCTTTTGATCACGTGCTCATCGAACGTCGGTGGTGTGTAACGAAATGCTTGCTTTGCTAAGTCGTAGGTACCGGTGGGTACCGGTAGCGTCAAAGGTAAGGAGGACTGCTTCGCTCTGATTAAGGTGTCCATATATTTGGGCGTTGCTCTCTTGTATATTTTCACGTCTTCTGATTTATGTACTTTGCCTCCTCCACCCAATCCCGTGACAAGAATTATATTAATAGGTTATTAAACAAGAGCACAGAAAACCAAGATTCATCTTTTATTACGCTTCCATAAATTTGGGTGAGCAGTTTTTAATTGCATTGCTGTTGTTTTCTATGAAAACTGGAAAAATGTTTCGCGGCCACTATCCCAAGTATGTCTTTCATAGTTTGGCATGTGAATTCAAATGAAAGGACTGAAATTTTAATTTGTTTAAGATAATTTTGAAGAAAACGAACGCCCGAAACTAACATTATAATTGAAAGCTTCAGCATACGTCCATATCGCGCGAGACAACGTCGGGGAACTAGATAGAGAATTTAAATACTCAAAGCAGAATCATAATATGTTCGCGACAAATAGTCACTGATTTACGTGAATGATAATCTGGACCCGTGTACAGACTTTTGAGAAGCTTAATTAATGATTCTTAGTGAACAGTGACAAAACGTAACATCGTCGTTTATACCCAATACATCTTTGGACTTCGCATTGCTTGGTGATAGCACTCCTGCATAATTATTTGAAGATAACGACAGTAAATAGGAAAATATCTTTGTCTGAAGCTTTTTACGACATAACTGGTGTTGAGTTTTCTTTAGAATGATGTTACAACATCATATATCTAGTCCTGAATACGATGCATTACCGCCGTCTACTATGCTTTCCAATGCAGAAGTTTATTCCGCACTTCCCATCATTGTTTTGATTAGAAAATAGAAACAAGAGAGCAACGCTCAAATATATGGACACGTGGACTAGAGCGAAGCAGGGTTTACCTTTGACGTTACCGGTACCGTACCCTCAAAAAGTTCCGGGTTTTCAGTCGCAAGAATTTTCACAGTCAGCCGTCACGCTTGGCGGATTAAAAACCGTGTTCCCATAATTAAAAATTAATACAGCGCAATTTTGGATGAAATATTATATCTCATAAGATTCATAGAAAATTCAGGAATAAATGAAAGTAATAGCCTTCTGGCAAAAAAAATCAATCTTGAACCACTGAAAATTCCAAAGCAATTGGTCCAGTATTCGAAGAGAAAAGCGATTTTTTTATGATAATGACGAAAGAAAATAACAATAACAACAAAATTTTGAAACGATCGTTATGGCCACTGAATGTGTCCAATAATATAAATAGATTTCGTAATTCTGGATAAAATTTACGTGTTCGTTTTTTTTTGAATAGCATTGTTTGCAGTTACATATTACTCTATTTTGGATAACACTGTATTTCATATATCGAAGTTTTGGCTGCGTAGTTCAAATTAGACATCACCGCTTTCGGACGAAATCTGTGTATACAAACTCAAACACGTGGAAATGAAAACAAAAATAAAAACCGGCTGTTGAGAACCACTGGTCTAAGAGTAGCTAAGATTGTGCAAGGTCATCATCTCTACATATTTTGAAGCGCCCCGATCAGTGAATGCATATTTTTATAACAGTGAAATTAACGGACGACAATAACAACCGGCACAGACAACAATCAATCAAATTTATCAGAGAAGATGACAAAATGGGAACGCATAAGATAAGTTCCAGAGGATACAAAAATAAGTTGCTAAGTTAATATGAATCCTATCTTCTAACAGCTCACAGCAATAACCGACAAACAACGTCAAATGAGAGAACAAAGTTACTGACAAACGTGAATAATAGTTATGTATGGCTG